ATGCTACTTTGCTACTGATCACCTTGCTGCAGATATTAAGTCTTTCAGGTGTGGTTGAATTGACAACTCAACTACTAATACTTGCGAATATTCTTTGGCTCCCCTTCTGTCGATTCAATAAATTTGGGGTGAATACTCTACCCTCGAAAACTGTTGCAATCTCCTATACTTGTGGGTTATCAGGCATCAGGTGGTGAAGCTGGACCCCGTAGTGGGTGAGGACTCCACGGACAAAAGCACTCGAAGGAAATCGAAGCATGTGGAAGATGAACGCCTCATGGACTACCAAGTTCCAAAGCACCAGGCACGGGGCCCTCTTCCCCGTGGTGGTCACCAACCATGGCATGAAAGATTTCTTGGGCAGCCACCCCTGTTCCACCAAGCACTCCAGATAGTTCCTACTTACCTGGGACCTTTTCCAATCACTGGCCCACTCTGGTGCGACGGTGGGATGGACCGGTTGTGGGTTGACCGAATGGCCCCCTTGACGGTGATCGTCAGAGGCAGCGGCGGATATTGACATTGATCACCCTAGAACGCAGGGAGGTAACTGGAGGCGATATTGAGATGGGAAGCTAGAGGAAGCACAACCCTTCGGGGGCACCATCCCCCTCTATTTAAGTGGGTGGGGCACGCAAATCTTATTCAAGACGGCACCTACATCAGTAGTGGGCCAGCCCACAAGACTTGGAGCCTCCCGTCTAAGGAAGCGACGACGCCACCGGAGAGGCAAAAGCAACGGAGAAAAGGGAGGCCGGACATCTGAAAAGAGTAGCCTAGTGGAGGTCTCGATGCTCGAAACCTGCGACATCCATGCTCAGGGGCTATTGACGGGGTCCTACACACGGGTGCCTGACGTAAGGAAGCCTGGCCTCAGGGAGCCTACGGGGCCCACTAGGTCCAAGACTGGAGGGAAACCCAAAGGATCCCCAAGCCATCTTTGTGATCTCCATGGTAGGACGTTAGCAGCACAACAAACTCACCTACCACCCGTGTAAACCCTAGACCTCTCCTTCCTATATAAAGGAAGGACTAGGGCTTCATTCATCATCCAATCCTAGATCTAAACTCTCAGTAGACATCCCGTACGCCATTGTAATCCTATGTACAAGGTATCACCTCACCATGAATGACAAGAAGTAGGATGTAGGGTATTACTCTTCGGAGGCCCGAACATGGGTAAATTGTGTCTGCGGACTCCGTCCAGGTACTTCTGATCTCATCATAAACCCTAATGAGGGATTTCCCGGAATTTTGCTCCGTCAATGGGAGGTCCTAAAATTGGTGACACAGGAATGACATGGTCAAATTTATCATATGTTTTGCACTTGACACAAAAGTGAGTCTTGCAATTTTGAATTTTTGACACAGAATTGATCTGTCTTTCATATGCTCATCTAAGTTCTATAATATGTGCCTTCACTAATAAGGTTTGTCATATCACCTCCTTTTCGTCTTTGTTGTCACACTGCTTCCTTCATTAAACAACTTATGTTTGTCTTGTCATTGTACATCTAACTTTGTTAAACAGATCCTTTTAAACTAATACAAATATATCATCTTGTAGGAACACCCATATCACAGGGATGTATAACGCAATGCACCTCTTATTACACGCTATCAACGGATTATGATATATTTAGTTCAATCTTATGTTACCCATTAAAGTTCCTCCAACTACATATTTTAAAACATTTGTGGCAAATACTATTTACCTTCTCGTTACTGTCCAGCCTAAGTTATAGCAATGCCAATGTACTAGAAGTTTTTTAGATTTCTTCCAATACTTTGGTCCAAAGTTGGTACCCATATTTTTCATCCCCTATATTATGTTATTTCCCACGTCTCATATTTTTATTGAAAATCTCTACCCTTTGACTAGAAAAATTGGCGAGCGTGGCAACGCGCAAAATCATGGTCTAGTTCATATAAATACCGCATATAATGCTAATGGTAATGATTGCGCATACATGCTACTAACTCAATGGAGTAGAGTTGCTAAAAAACTCAACAGAGTAGTGTCCATGAGTGATTTGCAAGGATGAGGTAGAGATCTTCCTTGAGTGTCTTGGTTAGATGGTGGTAGTGAGTATCGTATGAATATAGTATAGTAGTACATGAGTGTCGTACAACCTTTTTCTCACGGAGGGGGATGTCGTACAATCGTGATCAAAAAAACGGCTTGGTACCAAAGAAATTCAATTGTCCATCCATTCACTTTTGAGGGGCAATACCAGAAATAACACTTCTTTCAAGGGGCGAATGCGCAAGATTACCCTGAATGGAAACACTCGCTTCCGGAACATACCTCGTGCCTTCGGCCCACCGCTCAGCTCCTCACTGGTGCATGGTCCCTCCCATGCCCCCTTGCCGAGTTGCCCACCTTCGCGCGACCATCGTGTATATATGGGATTCTCCTTGCCTCCACCTGCTAACCTACACACTCGATCCACCTCTTAATTAACAACACTGCCCATTTACCAATTCAAGCGATGCTCCTTCCCCGGATGACTGCGATGAGGTACTAGCTACCATGTGCGGCGGCGTGATCTTCATGGACCTGAAGACGGCCACGGTCACACGGAGGGTGACCCAGGCAACGCCATGGCCTGAGAACAAGAAGGCTCGATGGGGCGGCGGCAGAGGCCTGCGCTTCACGGGGTTTGATGGGTTCGGGATAATGCTCAGGGTGGAAGACAATGGCATGGACTTTCAGGAGTTTGAGGTCAACTCCAGGGGCTCCGTCTTGGATCTCAGGCATGGCGGGCATGGTTGAGGGTGATGATGACGAGGAAGTCATCAAGATCAATACATTCACAGTCTACAAGTGGTCCCTCTCAAAAGGTATTGGCCCCACATCATTGGAACTCGTTTTAATCCTTGTATTAGGATTACTTCTCATCCTTGTCTATTGTAGAAGATACCGTAGAATCACATTTTTCCTATTTTTAGGTGGGACACAAAATTTTGAAGCCGCATATGGTCAATTTTTTGAGGGGTTAAATATTCGCCTATCTTGGTAAAGCTTTGAATATATGCATAAATCATACCCCGAGGCGGAGATGGGACCCAACCCCTGACCGTGTCCGGGGTGTGACGTCCATGCATAGATGTTCCAAATAAGCCTGCCCGTAACAGACAATTTTTGTTCTCACATTGTTTACACACATACGTTTCCAGGTTTCATGTTGTTTATGCTCGTACATTTTTCGATTTCACACGATTTACACTCCTTTTATCTCTCAAAGTACAGTGGCGACAAAAAATTACGTGTTGATCGTAGCATAATTTATGCCTCAACCAACCCAGAAAAGTCCATCCGGAAGTTACTTTTTGATATTGTTACTTAGGATACATTTGTAACCACATTATATGTCATGTTAGGTTAACCAAAGTACTGAATCTCCATATACATGGTTAGATCAAGAATGTGATGAGAAAGTTGCAATGCTAACTTATAATTCATATAACTACCGTATAATAATGTTGATGATTCCACACAGAGTAACTCAATGGGGCAACTTTATTTTTATTTGAGGACAATGGAGTAAGTACCTATGAGTGACTTACAAGAATATTAGAGTTACACACAATCAATTAAGAGAAGATATTGGTCAAACATTTGGTAGCATGAACCCATCCAATAAAGTAACTATCTATGAGTTATTTGCAAGGATCTTAAAATTACATGCAATAATTTATAAGAAAATATTGCTGAAATGTTTGGTTGGATGAACCCGTCCAATAAACTCCGATGGGGGGAGTACGACAGTCATAGTACAAGTGTGTAGTATAATCTTGAGCTAAAAATGGCGTAATTGTCTATGAGTGATTTGTAAAGATCTAGCATTACACACAATCATTTATCAGAAGATTTTTGGTTGGATGAACCCATCCAATAAACCCAGACGGAGAGTGTACAATAGTAGTAATACAGGTGTATACTACAATCTTGAACTAATAAATGAAATAACTAGCTATGAGTTATTTGCAAGGATCTTAAAATTCCATACAATCATTTATGAGAAGATATTGTATAAATGTTTGGTTGTATAAACCTGCCCAATAAACACGGATGGGGGAGTACGACAGTAGTAGTACAGTCATACTACATGTTGTAGTATAATCTTGAGCTAATAAATGGACATACCTAGCTATGAGTGATTTGCAATGATCTTAGCATTACACAAAATCATTTAGTGAGAATATTTTTGGTTAAATGTTTGGTTGGTTGAACTCGTCCAATAAACCTAGACGAAGAGTGTACAACAGTAGTAATACAGTCGTACTACACGTGTGTAGTACAATAATCTTGAGCTAATAAATAAAGTAATTAGCTATAATTTATTTGCAAGGATCTTAAAATTACAGACAATCATTTATGAAAATATATTGGTTAAACATTTGGTTAGATGAACCCATCCAATAAACTCGAACGGGGTAGTACGAGAATAGTAGTACAATCATACTACAGGTGTGTAGTGTAATCTTGAGCTAATAAATGTGTAACTAGCTATGAGTGATTTGCGTAGATCTTAGCATTACATACAATCATTTATGGGAAGATTTTTGGTTAATTGTTTGGCTGGTTGAACCCGTCCAATAAATCTGGAGGAAGAGTGTACGACAGTAGTAGTACAGTCATAGTACATGTGTGTAGTACAACAATTTTGAGCTAATAAATATAGACTAGCCTCCAAAGTCCGAAGAAAGAAAGTCAAATTTACAACCATCCGTTCATTCCCGACTCCCCCAAGTAGAAACATTCGCTTTCGGCACCTTCCTCGTGCCTTCCGCATGCCACGCGGCCGCTCGCTAATGTGTGGTCCCCACAACACGCCCCTTCATGCCGCCACGCGGCCACCATCTATATAGGGGACTGGCCTTACCCCCTGCAAACCCACCCTTGTTGCCCCACTTTATTAAAATCTCTGCCTATGTACCAATTCCATTGAGGCCCCTCCCCCGGTGACGACTGCAATAAGGTACCAGCGGTCATCATGTGCGGCGGAGGGAACCTCCCGGATGTCGAGGTTCCCGCAGTGAGGCGGAAGGTGATGAAGGCAGTGTTGTGGCCCGAGAAGAAACAACCCCGATGGAGCGCCAGTGGGGGCCAACACTTCATGGGGCTCGGCGGGCGCCGGGGACTTGGGCTGGACGACGAGGAGGAGGACTTCGAGGCCGACTACAAGGAGTTCAAGGCCAACTACGGGGACTCCAACCTGGAGCTCCAGCGTGGTGGGGTGTCTGAGAAGGATGACGACGACGAGGTCATCGAGACCAAGCCCTTTGTCGCCATCAAGACGTCGCTCTCCCAAGGTATCCACTGCGGGTGGCTTGGACTAATTTTTAATGTGTGTATCATTACCTTTAGTGATTGACTCGTGTCTACCCTCATCCAAGTTTATTAATCTCTCCTCATATTTTGGGTCAAAGTACCACCTAATTAACTAGTAAAATGTTAATGAATGATATAACAAAATTATTGGATTCTTATTTTAATGTAGTTTTGATATTATTTTTGCTATGATTAACTTGTATTTTATTAGTTAAAATCATGGTCAAAATTTGACTCAAAATACGAGGGGGGTTAGTTACCAGGACGAAGGTAGTAGAAGTAAGGAGTGTTGTTGGAAGGGTATGGTTCGGCGGTGTTACTCATGTTTGTTTAGTGATTTTGGATTGGAAGTGCTATCATGGAGTGATTTGGGTGAAGGGTTAGGCTTTTTCCATTTCTATGTTATGTTCGGTTGGCAAGCTCTTCCCGACACTGATCTTTTCTTTCGGATAAGCGATTTTTGTTGTTAGGTTGTCGATCTTTTGATTTATACTCTTGACCTTTGATGGTGATCCATAACTTTACCGTTTAGTCAAAAGGGGTAATCTACAAAAGGGCCAAATTTCTTTGCTTGGTGGTCTTGGCCTCTTGAATTGTTTCCTTGTAAGATGGTCGTAGGTGTGCATGAGGATTGTTCTAGACTTGGTTCATTTATCAGTCTAAAGGATTATTCTGATGTTCATTGAATTCGACTGAAAAAATATGACCTTGATTCTGAATCATCTATAATGTAATTTGTGGATTAACAATTGCAAAATGATGTCAAAGGTCTATAACATGAGGTATGTTTATCGGCACCTTGGATTTTTTTATTAAGTTGTAATTTTTATTTCATTTTATTTGTTTTGTGGGTGATTGATGATGCATTCACCCGAACTTGACCCATCATGGTCCAGTGTTCATTACGATCAATATATTTTACATATAAATTCATGTCCATGATGAAATTATTTACTTTTGTGAGAGAAGTTTGTCTGTGTTGGTCCCTCTTAGCATTGACATTGATCTTCCATTGCAGATGACTTAAGCACTATGAGTACCGCTGGTTTTGATGGTCCTTCAGAAAGGCCAGCAAAAAGGAAGACAAAGAACGAATTCAGGGGTATCCGTCAGCGCCCCTCGGGTAAGTGGGCTGCTGAAATCAGAGATCCTAGCAAGGGTTTCCGTGTCTGGCTTGGTACTTTCAACATTGCTGAAGAAGCCGCAAGAGCTTATGATGTTGAAGCACGTAGGATCCATGGCAAGAAGGCCAAGGTTAACTTTCCAGAGGAACCAGCAGTTCAGGAACCTAAAGCACCCAAGCCAAGCACAGCACAGGAATTTACTATTACACCACTAATCAACAACCTTGTCAACCCAAATGCTTCCGTGTACCAGTCTGTTGACGTTGCATCAAACCAGCCACTTGTTCAGCTTGATAACGTGTCATTTGTTCCTGCAATGAACTCCGCTACCCCTATTGAAGCTCCTGTTATGAGCATGTACTCTAACCGGGGAAGCAACACGTTTGGCTGCTTTGACTTGGGCTGGGAATATGACATCAAGACTCCAGATATATCATCCATTGCTCTCATATCCACCATTGTTGAAGGAGCAGAATCTGCACTTGTCCAGAGTAACACCTACAACCCAGTGGTGATTGTTGAAGGAGCTGAACTTGCGCTTGTCCAGAGTAACACCTACAACTCAATGGTGCCTCCTGTTATGGAGAACGATGCTGTCGATTTTGAAGCTTCGAGGTTTTTTATGAATGATGGTGTGGATGAGCTGATTGATAGCCTTCTGAATTTTGATGTGCCTCAGGATGTCGTCGGCGGGATGGACCTTTGGAACTTTGATGGCGAATTTTTCCTGAGGGATTCAAACCCCTGTGTATTGGAGGTAAGCCTTCGCAATTTAGATGTTCAGTCTGAAGTTGATAATCTTTTCATTACTCTGAACTTTTTGTTCTGTGTTTAAGGAATAGGAATATGGGAGACTGGGAAGCACCATATTGTGACCTACGTCCAGCATATGCTTATGTTCAAGTTTAGATGCAAAAAAGTGCATCCTGAATCTGTTTTGTAATCGACCATTTTTCCCTAGTTGACTGCATGTGTGGCAGCCATTTAGGATGAACCGTTGTCTTTATCTTTTGTTAACTTTGATGTCATCGCTACCATTTCTGAATGTGAACAGCATGGATATGTGTCTAGTTTGCTTTAATATGTGCATTTGATTGCTTTTTCCCATTAGTTCTGGCTATTTAATTGGTGATAGAAGTAACCTATGTATCTAATTTCCGAGCATAAGCTTATATGTTGAATATGGATACGCCTGGCTGCTTGCACAATTTCTTTTGTACAAGTCTGGTAAGTTTTCTGGAGGTTTCAACCTCTTTTTCGAATAAGGATGTGCAAGCCAAACTGTCCTCATCTTTTTTGAAGAAGGGCGTGCTAAGCCAGATTGTACTATACATTATACCTCTTCATTTCAAGCTCTGGAAAATATACCAGTTACTAGTCTTTGATACTAGATGTGTGATCATAAGTAGTCGTTCTTTCTACATGTAGTTCTTCTCAGCGATGTAGTTCTTACATAAACAGTTAGTGCGCCCAATTCCTGATTTGAGGGATTGGTTCCATTTCAGTACATTCTTATAGCAATGCATTTTACTATCGCTCAGCCCCTCTCGTTGTGAGAAGACATGTGAAACACGTATACATTTCACTTGATTTATTGCTAGAACAATCACCAAATTGGTGGTCTCATGTCACTTTCATTTTAGGTCCTTGATTTGATTTGACATCGACATAAGTAGTGCATGTCACCTTCTTATGATGAGTATGTTATTATTACTCGACAATCATGGGGCTCACCGAGGATAGTTTTGTGGAGGCTATTTTGTTACTCACATGGAGGTTGGTTTTCGTTATCAGAATACTATTAGAAAGCTGTCCCTCCCGCGATCACAGAGATTACATCAAAGTGAGGTACTGTATGAGATAACTTCCATGCGGGTATTTTTACAGCTACCAACCGTGCATACAAGCTCCAAAGTAGTCCAAGCAGGACAACAATTTGTCGAAACTTCTTGTTGTTTTGTCGATTCATGGCCAGAGCTTGCTGGAGGCTGTTCTGGAGAGCCAGTTGTTTTCTTCCCGATGACTCCTAATTCTGGTAGACCAGAAAACGGAGCATCTTGTAGTCCTAAGAAGAATGAGCTTGGGATGAAGACTATAATTTACCGGAAGTGTTGTTCTAGCCCCGAGTTCATGTGAGCTCGGGTGAACAGTAAAAAAGCTGATATATTGTGTGAAACTTTGACAAATTTTAATAGCTTGCAAAATTTCATAACCAAATGACATTCGTGTAAAATGTAGCAAAAAACAAAATATATTTTCTAAAATGCGTTTAAAAATAAGATTTTGGAGCATCGGTTTTCTTTTTCTTTTGCCACATTTTACACTAATGTCATCTAGTGATGAAACTTTGCAAGCTATCAAAACATTTGTCAAAGTTCAATACAAAAAAAATCAGAATTTTCTGAATTTTTTTCGATTTTTTTATTTATTTTCCTGTTCACCCAAGCTCACATGAGCTCGGGATCATAACAGCCGCTTCCATAATTTACCCTCATCTTTCATTTGTGAATATGCATTTTATTTTATCATTATTATTTTTTTTGCGGGTGGATGAGTATGCATTTTCAGGAGTATAGTACTTTGACGGTGAGAGTACAGAGGCTAGGCCGTTTGTACTTAATCTCTCTAGCTATCACGTTTTTATGGACCGATTATTTCCACTATAATCGATTGTTTGATTTCTCCTGTCAGCAAAATGCCGCCGATTGCTTGCCACGAACAACCTCAAAGAACGTCAGTCTTAATCTACACTCTCAACACAATGACCCAGCCCAGCCTAGGGCCCTAGGCACGAGACCAGACCTGCTGCTGGTCTTGGAATACAACTTGCGGTGGAAACAGAAACTAGTAGCTAGAAAGCATTACAAGTCATAATCAGCCCAAGAGATCATCACAAAACAAAACACACAGCATTCGACCGGCCGATCGATCTACTCCTTGTCAAGAACGGGCATGCAGCATCCTATCCACAAGTGTTCAGGCGACGCACGAGTTGAGGCCCAGGCACTCCATCCACAGGCTCCTCTTCTGCAGAAAGGCATCATCCGACCAGAGAGAGAAAGTCAGCTCCACTTCGAACCATACTGAGCCAATTCAAGTCTGTGGCCGTGCCGCTCGTACGTACCCGTCTTGGCCGGTACCGGCGGGAGGCAAGCTCCGGCGGAGGCACCTGGTACAGGTCCTCGTCGACCGGCCGCACCACCCTGGACGCGGAGGCGGCTCTGGACGTGGCTCGCGCCAGGCCGCCGCCTTCCGGCGCCTTCGCGCGCCTCCCCTGCTTCTCCCGGGCCACATCGCTCCTCGTCTTCTTGGGCGCCGGCTTGCGCGGAGGCGGCGAGTACTTGAACCATACGTCGCTGCAGTCCTCCGGCTCCGGGGCGTAGCGCTCGGCCGGCGGCTCGTCGTAGCCGTGGCAGTAGTTCCACTCCCCGAACGCCGGCACCTGCCGCCTCCTCGCCTTCTGCAAAACCGAAACCACAAATGCTTAGCCAGGTGATCAGAAACTTCAAACACTCCTACTCCGATCGATCCTTGTTGGATGGTTCCTGGTTGACACATACACACTTGACACTTACCTCCATCTGGCTTGCGCGGCACGGGGTGCGGACAGAATGAGGTGGAGAAGAAGAGAAGCAAAGCTGGGGCCGGAGGGGGTGAGGTGAGTAGGACGAGTATTAGCTAACAGAATGGAATGGGGCCTCCAATGGCCGGATGCTGATATTTATAGCGAGAATGGGAATGGGAGGAGCGATGCAATGCAACACTAATAATCAGAGGAACGGCTTGGCGACCGGGGATAGGGTGCGGAGACACGCGGCAGAGGCCGCATCAGCAATGGAAGGACCTTCGCAGAGGCGCTGTACTAGCTTGCTGTAGCATGCAGCGGTAGGCTGACAATGGACGCAGCAGCAGTGGCCGCTGGCCCGGTGTGGTCGCAAGCTTTTACTGCTGCACATGGGGGCTTCGCTTCCTTGCTGCACGTCGCGCCGGGTTCCGGCTGACTTGCAGCCCCTTTGTCGCGCTCCTCTTATTTCGGCATCATTGCAGGCTGATTATCTTGGGAGTATAAACCAAAATACGCATTTCAAAGCTGAGCTTGGCAAATATATACTTTTACGTGATAGCTTCTCCAGTCCAACCGAAATTGGACATCTTGGATCCAATACGACTTGTTGAGCAAAGTAGTTCACTCTGGCCCCCCATGAAGCTCCCCTCGAGGCGTCTCGGGCATTGGCATAACCCTAGCTCGCGCCGTCACCGCCATCACCCCCTCTTTGCCAACAGAGAAGGCCTCCTTGGAAGCAACTGTGCCAATCCCCCCATCTAACAAGCTTATAAGAAAAAGTCATGTGTATCTGTCGGTGTCAAAACCGGCGGATCTCGGATAGGGGGTCCCGAACTGTGCGTCTAGGCGGATGGTAACAGGAGACAAGGGACACGATATTTTATCCAGGTTCGGGCCCTCTTGATGGAGGTAAAACCTTACATCCTGCTTGATTAATATTGATGATGTGTGTTACAAGAGTAGATCTACCACGAGATCAAGGAGGCTAAACCCTAGAAGCTAGCCTATGGTATGATTTTTGTTCGTCCTACGGACTAAAGCCATCCGGTTTATATAGACACCGGAGAGGGCTAGGGTTACACAGAGTCGGTTACAATGGTAGGAGATCTACATATCCGTATCGCCAAGCTTGCCTTCCACGCCAAGGAAAGTCCCATCCGGACACGGGACGAAGTCTTCAATCTTGTATCTTCATAGTCTTGGAGTCCGGCCGATGATGATAGTTCGGCTATCCGGACACCCCCTAGTCCGGGACTCCCTCAGTAGCCCCCGAACCAGGCTTCAATGACGACGAGTCCGGCGCGTATGTTGTCTTCGACGTTTGCAAGGTGGGTTCTCCTTCGTGCTCCATGTATTTGCCGGATAGTGTCCGGTTGCTTCATAAATGCTGCGCTCCTTGGCTTCTACGTTCAATAATGGCCTTCTTCCACGTGTCGTACGAATGCGAAAAGCCAGGGTATTCTTACGTTTTTCCCCCTAGCTGCGCGGATAAGCTGCCTATAAGAGAGGCGAGGATCCAGATCCAAATCACACCACCCTCCTTCCGCAAGTACTCATCGAGGCGCATCTGACAAAAAATCCATTCCAACATGGACAGTCGACGCGGCTCCTCTTCTCGCGCTCCCAGTCCTAAGCCAGGAGATTGGAGGAGATGCTCAGTCCCGCATAGCGAGTTAGTGGTGCTCCAAACAGAGGGATACCTTCCCCCGGCCTGTATGGTTCCGGTTCGAGCCGGACTGGCCACCTACAAGGGCGGGAAGCAGGCGGAGAGTGTCCCCAATCCCTCCAAAGGAGAGCGGGTATGCTTCGTCTCCTACTTGATAAGGGGACTCGGATTTCCTATACATCCGTTTCTCCGGGGGCTCCTGGAGTTCTATGGACTCCAACTCCACCACCTCACCCCTGCCTCTATTTTGCACATCGCGGGCTTTGTAGCTCTTTGCGAGCTGTTCTTGGGCATCGAGCCCCATTTTGCGCTGTGGAAGAGGCTGTTTTGCCTCGTACCCCGTTCTCACAAGGGGTCGATATATCAAGTGGGCGGAGCCGAAATATGGCGCATCGCCGGGACCGGATATCTATCCGGAACTCCGAAGAAGGCGTCTGAAGACTGGCCTTCGGAGTGGTTCTATATGGAAGACGCCCCGCTGTCGGATCCAGTTCGGATCGGCCTCCCGGAGTTTAGCAACGCTCCTCTGAAGAAACGCCTGAGTTGGCGCCCGCGGAGCCCTCAACGGGAAGAGGATAGGAGCGTCCATTATCTGATGGGTCGGATACGGCTACTAGCCCATTCCGGATTAACCATGATTGGAGTCATGGCCACATGCATTATGCGAGGGGTGCAGCCGCTCCAATATAGGGGCCACCCCATGTGGGATTTTAACGGGGAGAATGACATCACCCGTCATGGCCGCACGGGACCGGGATCGGCCGCCGATCTGGTGAAGATCCTGTCCGGCTTGTATAAGGGGGAGGAGGAGGACTTCCTCCGCTTGAGTCCATTGAATGGATTCTCCATGAATAACCCTCGAAGCTGGGTAAGCGGACGCTTAAATATCCGATCCGCGCTTTCAGAGATAAGTGTCTTACCTTATGGTTTCGACGCAGGAACTGCGCCGGGATGTGGAGGGCATAAAAAGCCTGACTCCACAACCCGAGGATCCGGGAAGATCCCTTGATCCGGCCTCTGAAGAGGATCCGGACATTAAGGTGGATTTAATTGACGGGGTGTTCCACCAACTCAACATAGATAATGCTTTAGTCGCCATTACGGTTAACTACCCCGGTTTGTGTCCGGCTTCCCAGGTGAGTACGACCGAAGTCCTGACACCGTTACTTTTTTAATGCTTATTTCTGACCACCGTGCACCAATGGTGCTCGGCAGGAGGTGCCTTCACGGCAGGAAGCCGAGCCCGCGGCGACTGACCAAACGAGGTCAGTTCGGCCTAACAGGCGGAAGAGGAGTGCCGGCGAATCGAAACGTCGCCACAAAGGTACGGTGCACCATTGTCCTTTAAGGGAAAGACTCCTGGGAGGCATATTAATGCTCATGATTCTTCCAGGAGAAAAAGCGCTCGCCGGACTGAGTCCGGAGAGGGTGCCCACCAAGCCTCCGCCAGCCAGGCTCCAACGCCTGGTCCGGAAGGGGAGGCGAGCGCAAGGCGCGAGCCGGACGCTCCTCCAAAGGAGGATGCCGACAGGTTGTCTGCCACCAGGTCTGAGGTGGAGAGCGCCATGAATCATAGGCGCCGTCGCACAGTTCTTCGTGACGCGTGTTTCTCCCCTGAGGCGTTAAATGCCTTTAATGCGGGAGACGCGCACCTCCGTGCTGCTCAAGATGGTTTAACCAAAGCCACGGAGCAGTATGTAAAGGACATACGGGTAAGGAATTTTAATGGCTATATATGCCAGTAGCCCCCGAGACTTAAAATAGTTAAACTAACTGATTTAAGGATCATTTGTTATGCAGGATCTTACTGAGAAGAATACCCACCTGTCTCAGGAGCTTCAAGAGTGCAAGGCCCAACTTGAGGCCGCACTAGCCGCTGCCGGGGGAGCCACGGAGACCCCCTCTGGTAATTCATATTTTAAAAAGAGAAGTAGTTTATAAAGTGCGGCGTGTGTGTATAGTCTGACAATAGTATTGCAGAGGATGCCGGACTAGATCCGGACAAGCAACAGCTGCTGCGCCAGGTGAAGGCCGGTGAGAGGGTGCTTATGAGGGTGCAGCAGGAGAGGAACAAACTCCAAGATGCCAACACCCAGCTGGGCGAAGAACTAAAAGATGTTCGGGTCCAGCTGTCGAACTCCGTAAAGGAGAATCGGCGGCTTCGTCGCGGCATTTATAGTAAGTGATTGAGCAAACTCTTTTGAAAAGAAGAGTTCAGCGAGGAAGTTGATTGACAGAAATATGTCTGTAGGTGTGCTCACAGGTCGTCCGGCGGAGGAGATGCCTGGTTCCATGGGAGACCCTCTTCCTGAGCTGCTGCAACTGCACGAACGTGTTCGGCAGGCGATGAGCGGCGTCGTTCAGGCCTTATGGCCTTCCGTCTCCCTACCCGAGGGTCTTGGAGGGCTTGCTGAGAAGCTTCAGGGAGTACGGTGGCGGCTCCGTCTGTGGAAGATATCGACCTGCCGTCAAGGCACCAGGGAGTCCTGGGCCATGGTGAAGACGCGGTACCCGAAGGCTGACCCAAACCACATGGCCGAGGTCGGACCTGCGGGGCCCGATGGGAAGGAGATCCCTGTGAGCCTAATGTACGGCCAAGTAGAGTTGGCCACGAAATATTCCGAACAGGACTATAAATTAGATAGCCTGTTAGATGGGATTGAAGAGGAGTACAATCACTCAGTTTGACGATGTAATTTAAAAATGACATGTAAAATGCCTTCTAGCCGGATTGTAGATCGTTTGTCTTTGCGGACCTTTTCGCTTCAACCTCGGGACCCAACAGTCCGGAGTGTGTCCGAATACCCTTACGGTTATAAAAGAACCGGGGCATGCATGGAGACAAGGCGTAGGGGTCATAATTGCTTTATCAGACAAGTGCCCAACTAGCTATGTTATATTACATGGTTAGTAAGAAACATCTTCCAGGGAGAATAGTTCCCTTAAGGGTTCCTTTCCCTGGGAGGCATGCCCTAAAGTGCATGCCCGGACTGCGAAAATAGCAGAAAAAGCATCTGGGGGCAGATAAATAATTAAGTAATAAATCATCTTTCAGGTCACCGACCGAATATTCCCTTAAGAACACTAGCCTTCGGCTTCACCCAGTCTGAGGTACACATCCGGCTGACCCGGCAGTAACAATCGCACAGGTGCTCCCTTTACCTCCTAGTCGAACAATCAGGAACGTAGGGGTAAGCACAGGAGCCAGGCAACCCGGCTTGGCCAAAACTTAAGTCATATCGATGCATACAATGGTGATCAAAAGGTACATGTGGAAGTGTGACACATGTGTTGGGCATGAAGCCCATATAAATAAGCTTTTGTTAAAGAAGCCCACAGGTATAACGAGT